CCCCTGGCTTGTTGAGTGTAAAGATCTGTCTATAGAGAAGTAAATAGAAAAGAACCTGTTTACAACAAAGTTTGAAAACTTTTCTTTTAACTTTTCAACTCGAGTTAAAATAGTTGTTGAAGTTGTGTCCTCACAAGTCACAATACCAGCACAATTCACAATTCACAATTCACAATTCACAATTCACCAAAACTTCAATAAAAATTCACAATTCATAATTCACTAACAATCAAAACGTGAACAAAAGCATCTGTAAACAGTGAGACCCTGAAAACTGTGGAATGGAAAGAGAACTATTTTACTGAATTTATAATCTTGAAAATTACATTGCACTTTTTTGCAGTTGCATGAGGGTGTGTTATAGAAATAAAATGTTTCTTAATCAAATTCTATCTATTATATCATTGTGTGTAGGGGTGCATACATAGAGTTCATAAAGAAAAAGAAAAACATTTTAAAATCAAACACAATTACCTGAGAAAATTTGCAGTTTAAAAATCGAATTTTTAAGACAGAAATACCCAATTTACTTAACTTTTCTTAATTAAACACGATGTACAACTCCAAGACCTAGTACACGACTCCAAGACCTAGTACACGACTCCAAACACCTACAAACACCTACAAACACGACTCCAAGACCTAGTACAAAAATTGCCTTGACTCACTCATGAAATCTGGTTTTATAAATTTTACTAAAAATTCTTCAAATTGTTACTTTTATTTTTATTCGAAATAATCTTTTTTGTTTATACTATGGATGTTTGCAATATACGGACTATGGAGTATCGAAGAACTTTTAAAACTGAAGTTTTAAATAAAAAGTTTCTTTTTTTAATTACTTAGCAAGGCTGAAAGTTTCAGACATTGTTTAGCTAGCTAGAGAGCTGATTGTTTTTTTTGCAAACACATGTTAATATATCGGACTCAAACATGGATTAAAACTTTGAAAATATGAATTAAAAATTGAAAATATGGATTAAAACTTTAAAAATATGAATTAAAAATTTTAAAATATGGATTAAAACTTTAAAAATATGGATTAAAACTTTTAAAATATGAATTAAATCTTTAAAAATATGGATTTTTGGAATTTTTTGGGGGGAATAATGTAATTTTAATAATCTTCCAAAATCTTGGAAAAAGACTGTAATAAATCTAGACGCGATTACTATACTCAAAGTCTAATAAAGAACACACTAATCTCTATCTCTAGCCAAAACTCAAGGCTCTCTATTCTCAGCCAAACTCTAGGCTCTATATACGTCTGTATAAATCAAGGGATTCTATTGAACTAAATTTATTTATATACAGGTGAATTAAACTGACCGTACTGGTCATTAAGGGTCAACATGAAACATGATAAGATAGATAAACGAACATAGATAAATACAGAATTCATTACAAGACGACCTTTTGTCTCTAAACGGTTTGTTACCAACACGCCTATACATTCTAACTTACTGATTAAAAAAGATATATTGATCCTTGACCCCCCCCCCCTCCCCATAATTTATCATTTTTAAAAACATTCATTGTGTGTCTACAATATGTTTTTCTTGACCCAGAGAGCCTGCAAGTTTGTTAATGAAACTAACAACTGAGTTTGCCCATTAGCAGCTTAGCAGCTCAGTTGTAATCTCAACCAAAGAAATTAGTAAGTATATAGTCCAACAATTCAGTCTACAACAATATATATATATATAGGCATATACAGGGTGAGTAAAAAACTGTGATTTTCTTCGGTTTACAAAAAAAAGGTTCTCACAAAAAATCCTCGAAAATATCAGTGAAAATATGCTCCAATACTAATTTGTCCCCAATATGTCGTAGATCTGAGACATTTCAAACTTTGAATTCTATTAGATCAAAATAATATAGCAATGTAATATCAAAGGTTTACACCATCAGGTTGTAAAGATGTAGGGTTTAGAAAATGTGAGTTTGTGGCAAAGATTCAATTCCTTTGTATTCTCTATGAACGATATAATATCTTGCTGGGTGATCTTTAAACCAATATACTCTGTGAACTGCGCTCTGTATGAAAGATAAATAAAGGAGAATTGTGTAAGATTTCGTCCAGATTTATCTCTAAATGGATTCATCGAGTACTAAGGATAATAAATAACGTTGTTCCACAGTAAACTTTTCAACTTATTTTAACAAACCTTTATCTCCAAACTTTCATTTGGCAGGGTGTTATAAAAAGGACAAATCGAGGGATCATGGTTGTTAATTAAAAATAGCGGAGTTGCAAACTCTGCAGGATTAGTCTTTCCAGTAATCTAGGGTTGTTCATTAAAGGTTGTTAATCTAGGGTTGTTCATTTAAGGTTGTTAATCTAGGGTTATTCATTAAAGGTTGTTAATCTAGGGTTGTTCATTTAAGGTTGTTAATCTAGGGTTGTTCATTTAAGGTTGTTAATCGTGTTGTGGCGCATTTGGACGTTTAATAGGGTTCACACAAATTTGAGAGGTTTGTCAAAGAAAATGAGTCTTTGCCACAAACTCTGATATCTTTGAAACCCAAAGTCGTAGACCTTAGATATTTCAAACTATAAATTCTATTTAATCAAATATTGTTAATTTAAACTATCAAAAGTTGTGAATTCACAATCAGATTTCAAAGAAATAGAGATTAGAAAATTTTAATTTGTGGCAAAAACTAAATTCTAATAATGCCAAATTTGTTACCCTGAGAGAAAATATATGCAAAAAGAAACCAAGCTACAATGCACTTTAGCTTAAAAGGAGTAGTTGGCAACATGCTGAAAGATGAGAGACTGTACACTTTAGATTATCTCATAGATTAATTAAAATAACAGATAGGACCAAGGATATAAAATAGATGGATATATCATAGTCAAGGTTTGATGTAATTTTTTCGATGGGGTGTTATGCAGAACGTTAGACATTGGACCCTGGAACTTACAATTTGTCTTTGGTTTTCGTAAAGTTAATAGATGTCAAAGGAGTATAGAAAAACATTGTAAGTCTTTAAAACTTGATAAGATTTAGCCTCCTTCTTTGTATTATAAAAATTGTTGGAGATTATAAAGATTTAAACAACCTTGCTTTTATTTAAAAATTTGGAATTTTAAACAAATTTCTCAATATCTTGGTCAATTCTTAAGGTACAAAAACGGCTGACCACATTTTTGGAATTCTGAAAACAAGGCGCCTTTGATGCTACCAACTCTTTGAAGAAAATGCTATGATCTTAGCTACAGTATCTCATTTCTGCTTACTCCAGGGCCCACTATCTACCAAAGTTCTTCTCTAATTTGGACCCTGAACTTAACACTTCAAACTTTTTTAAAAGTACAAATAATTTTTATAGAATGAACAATAGCCAGAATAAAAATTTGTTAAAGTAAAACCTAAAATTTGCTATGCAGAGGTTTTAGAAATTTCCTAAAAATATCTAGGGTCCACTGAGATATAACAGCTGCGTAGCCCACCGATAAAGTTTCATGTACACTAGCCCAGAATAGTATAGATCGGTAGAAAGAAGCATACATATAAGCGGGCCGTGGATAGGACACTAGATGTCGTCTTTGTAAGATTTAAATGAAACTCGTTCACTATAACCCTGAGGCAGAAGCCCAGAGGAGTAGAATTACAAGTAGAGAGAGCCTGTTCTACGCCGACTGCGCGAAACTTCAGGGTTATTGTGAGTGAGTTTCATCTAAATCTTGAAAAGACGACATCTAGTGTCCATTCTGTTATTTTAATTAATCTATGTAGTACCCTGCACTCTGCTGGGAAGAAAAAGTAAGCAAAGTCTGTCGGAAGAAGACTGAGAACATCAAACTTGAAGAACTAAACAATTCAGCTGTTCTGATAAATTATTCTACCAAATAATATGAAAAGCGAGAAGCAGTTTAACTAAGCTTAGACTTAATTGAACCACTTCTTTTTTAACCGTGGTTCAACTAAGTCGACGTAGTTCAACTACTTTTAAGATTAAATTTGTCGATTTTATTAAAAATTGTCCCTAGATTCAAATTTTGGATGACAAAAAATTGATAATATTTTATTGTACAGTGAAACACTTAATAACGAATACATCGAAAGAATTCATCAAATGTCGTATTCTTCACTTTCTGATAATGGAATGTTGCAGATATTTAGTTTTTTAATTAAATGATTAAATGGAGCTCTTTAAAACTGTTCGCGCATATTCATGGCTATTTATTTATTTTCGCAAATACTGATATTTACGTAATATAGTATAAAACTCATTGAACAATTGTCAAGACGACATTTGATTATTTCTTCCGATTTATTCGTTATTAAGGGTTTCACTGTAGTTTTTTTTTATGATCTGGACGGAAGGAAATTGATAGAATTGGTCTCAGTCAAGAAAAACGATGACATCTTTGTTCCCTATGAACAACTGAATGTTTAAAGTTTTGGATGTTTACTAGAAATTACGACAATGCAGTCCCTTAACATTATTTCCAATAAATTCAAAAATTTATCATGATTTAATGCAGTTTAAAGAAATCTTGAATTTAAATGTTAAAAAAATCCAAGCTACCGATCAGAAGATTTTCTCTTTTTTGTGTCTCCAAAGATTGTTTCTGGCATCATTTCACACTGTCGAGAAAAAATATTTTTTTCGTCGCCTTTAAAAAGAAATGTGCTTAACTTTTAGAAAACATATTACTGAAGATGAACGAAAATATTTTGTTCTAAACTACATTTTTGAAGATGGAAGTTTTAATCAAATTTTGTCTAGCTGAAAAAAATCTCATATTTCTCTTCTCTCTTGGCATGATTTTTCAATTTAAAAATAGAAATTTTCCATCCAGCTTTCCTTGGATTTATAATATTTTTGTCGTAGTTTTGAAGGTTCAGTCACCATTATACCTTGCTCTAGGAACCCCTCATGCATCCTGAAACATTAAAGGGATTGAAGACAAAACTGACCCTTCATTTATAGAGTTGCATGTCCGATATACAACGATACCTTTCAAACCTTTTTGGCTGATCAAGGATGAATTAGATGTCAGCTCAAAATTGATTTTTATTCAATAATGGATCTCCCTAGTGCTTTGTATTTATGCTACAGAATCATGAAAGACGTTGGCAGTATTCATCATTTTTCAAATAGAAAATTGATGATGCATATGCTACTTCATTGTTACTGAGATATAGAGGCTTAAAGGGTTCCGTTGTGATTTACGCCTGGTACCCCTTTAAAATAATTTAAATCATTACACTCTTGTGTGGTTCAGGTGAGTTTGTAGAGATTTATTACAAACAATTGAGATAAGTAAGTTTTAAACGGAAGAAAAACTTTAAATAATGACTAAACAATATAATGGTTAAATGACAAAATGGTTTTAGAATAGTCAATTAATCAGTCATTTGTGAAGAATATTATTCAAACTCTTACTGTATTGCAACACATACAGAATAAGCTTCATCTTTGCGACTTGATATGATGAAACGTCTGGTGGTTCAAGTGGTGAAATGTTTGCAACAGTAGGTTCCAAAGCTATTTTTTGCCACATTGCAAAAATATCAAGTTGGAATTTATGATTTAGTCGCCTGTTTTGGCGTTTTTGATCTTAAAACAATTTTACTCTGTTACCTTACAAAAATATCCGCAAGATAGAGAGAATCTGAACTGTAATCAAGAACTAACCAGGCAACTGGGAAACTAAAGAAAAAAAAACATAAAATATTTACATTAAAATAATATCAAAGTTTAGTTTAAAGTAATGGAATTGAGTCTTTGCCGCAAACTCCGATTTTTATCCATATTCCTTTACAATCCAATGTTGGGAATCTTAGATATAGATCAAGGTATGTATTTTGTTAGATCAAATAATCTAAGCTTGAAATATCAGAGGTGTACACCATCTCGGGTCAACTATATAGAGATTAGAAAAATTGAGGTTTTGACAAGGACACGATTCCTTTGTCAATGGAATAGAATATATATGCGCCAAAGTAAAAATCAAACAATAATATTAGTTTAAAAGTCGTCTTTTCCCATTTTCGGCCCCCTTGTATAGATTACCTATTGTCCAGGTTCCAAAAAATGCTTCTCCCAATAACCAGCATTAGATTGTACATAACGGCAATGTTGATGCAACACAGCCAATAGTAGTGGTAATCCTTTCCTGTACAATTCATAAACAACACCGTTCATAACATATATGTACTGTACATAACGGCAATATTGATGCAACACAGTCAATAGTAGTGATAATCCTTTCCTGTACAATTCATAAACAACACCGTTCATAAAATATATGTACTGTACATAACGGTAATATTGATGCAACACAGCCAATAGTAGTGATAATCCTTTCCTGTACAATTCATAAACAACACCGTTCATAACTTATATGTACTGTACATAACGGCAATATTGATGCAACACAGTCAATAGTAGTGGTAATACTTTCCTGTACAATTCTTAAACAACACCGTTCATAACTTATATGTGTACTGTACATAACGGCAATATTTATGCAGCACAGTCAATAGTAGTGAAAAAACTTTCATGTACAATTCATAAACAACACCGCTTATGTACACTGTTCATGTACTCGTCACATTAAGTTCACTAGTAAAGAATGGTGTATTTGGTGTGATGTCTCGTTCTGCCGTATACAACTTCAGTATGTGTACTGTACAACTTACTAGCTCTTAGCTAAAAAGTCAGTGTCAGGGGGCGAACACGTCATGTATGTGTGTTTGTACCAAAAGAGTGTGTGATATTTCTACGGGTTGTTTCCTGTATCAAAAGCTAGATATCCTCGAAACCGTCCACCAAAATATGAAGGTGCATTGGGATCATCCTAAACAGTAAATACCAAAATATGAAGGTGCATTGGGATCATCCTAAACAGTAAATACCAAAATATGAAGGTTTATTGGAATCATCATAAACAGTAAATACCAAAATATGAAGGTGCATTGGGATCATCCTAAACAGTAAATACCAAAATATGAAGGTACATTGGGATCATCCTAAACAGTAAATACCAAAATATGAAGGTACATTGGGATCATCCTAAACAGTAAATACCAAAATATGAAGGTGCATTGGAATCATCTTAAAAGTAGCCATGAAACTCAGCGGTAGTTTTTTAAGTGTGACAAATTCGTAGAAATAATCTGCGTATCTGCGTAAGAAAAATAATGTGAATCTAATATTGCCATTTTAGCATATAGGGTCATTGTGTATATTTAAAATGGCAAAACAAAAGATAAACATCGCACGTAGAAAAGTTGCAAAGTAACCTGAGGACTAAACTATAATCTAATCGACAGAAATTATTATGTTATTCTTCAGACTGATTTCTGGATTTTTAAAATTAAATATTATCTATCAGATGGATTTAATTGAATTAAGAAAGATGAAAATTTAAACCCTACAAGTGTTCCCTTTACACCTCTGTGATGCAGAAAATAATGTCCTTCTTATTGAAATGTTCTTCAATGTTTCTGTTGCGGAAATCAACATTTCCCTATTACGCAACAATCAAAATTTAGTATCATATCTATTCAGATATTCAGATATTTTTGCTGAGACAAAGGTTAAAAGAGTACGTTTGTGAATCAGACGTGCATATCTATAAATGAAAGTTCTTTTATAATTATATCGACAGTACAAGATGATCGGATACCTTTGCATTGTCTGCTACATAGGAGAATATTTGGTTCCAGGTTCTTGGAGGTAGCTCTTCACCTGACTCTGAGTATCTAAACAAACCCGGACTCTGAGGATATAAACAAACCAGAACTCTGAGGATATAAACAAACCAGGATTCTGAGGATATAAACAAACCAGGATTCTGAGTATCTAAACAAACCAGGATTCTGAGTATCTAAACAAACCAGGATTCTGAGTATCTAAACAAACCAGGACTCTGAGTATCTAAACAAACCAGGACTCTGAGTATCTAAACAACCCAGGACGTTGAGTATCTAAACAAACCAGAACTCTGAGTATCTAGACAAACCAGGACTCTGAGCATCTAAACAAACCAGGACTCTGAGTATCTAAACACACCAGGACTCTGAGTATCTAAAAAAACAGAAATCTGAGTATCTAAACAAACCAAGACTCTGAGTATCTAAACAAACCAGGACTCTGAGTATCTAAACAAACCCGGACGTTGAGTATCTAAACAAACCAGAACTCTGAGTATCTAAACAAACCAGGATTCTGAGTATCTGAAACAAACCAGGACTCTGAGTATCTAAACAAACCTGAACTCTGAGTATCTAAACAAACCAGAACTCTGAGTATCTAAACAAACCAGGACTCTGAGTATCTAAACAAACCAGGACTCCTGTATCTAAACAAACCAGGACTCTGAGTATCTAAACATACCAGGATTCTGAGTATCTAAACAAATCAGGATTTTGAGTATCTAAACATACCAGGACTTTGAGTATCTAAACATACCAGGCCTCTGAGTATCTAAACAAACCAGGACTCTGAGTATCTAAACAAACCAGGACTCTGAGGATATAAACAAACCAGGACTCTGAGTATCTAAACAAACCAGGACTCTGCGTATATAAACAAACCAGGACTCTGAGTATATAAACAAACCAGGACTCTGAGTATCTAAACAAACCAGGACTCTGAGTATATAAACTAACCAGAACTCTGAGGATATAACCAAACCAGGACTCTGAGGATATAAACAAACCAGGACTCTGAGGATATAAACAAACCAGGACTCTGAGTATCTAAACAAACCAGGACTCTGAATATCTAAACAAACCAGGACTCTGAGTATCTAAACAAACCAGGACTCTGCGTGTCATAAATATAATAGACTTTATAATGATCAAAACAAGGATATTATACCATAGCTGTAGCTGAAAGTACCGTTGTGAATCGAGTATGGAGGGTCACTTGAGATAATGTCCCCAGTTCAATTAAAATATTAACATAATCTTACAAAATAGTTTTATATCTTCTGAGCTGAAAACTTTAGAATGGGATATCCTTAATACCGGTAACTTAATCTGAATATCCAATCTTCAGAATGGGATATCCTTGATACTGGACGCTTAATCTGAATATCCAATGTACACACTTTTGATTTGAATCTTAATCTTCTTCTTTGGATACCTCTACTATATAAAAGTTACGTACATGCATGATAACAATTACAGATACGATGCTATATCGATTAGATTGAATTAAAGTCATTAGTTCACAAGCCGACTTTTAGAGTATTTAAACAAATATAAATTTAATCATGTTAATATGAAATTATTAAAAAACATATTTTAGCACATTTGAGGACTACAGTCGTTTTAAACTGCAGTCTTAATTAACATTAATCCAAAACTTACTTTCGTATATATTTAATATTTCATAATATTTTCTATTTTTCCTGATATAAAACACATTTATTCCTGTTTCGAGGATTTCTGATAATGAAGACGGAATTTTCACATTTTCCAGGAATGTTCGAAAATCCAGCACCAGTGAAATATTATTTTTGAACAACAAAATCAAAAAATTACGAAATATTAACTATACACGAATGCGTCGAAAAATTATCGATGACTATTGTGTGTACAATATCTGAATGATTTGTTTGGAATTAAATTGCTTATTTTACGATCCGAGTTGTATGTTGCAACTTTCAGAATTTGTATGGACGCTACGTTCTCCAGTATGAGTCGTTTTTCACAATTTTCTCCTTATAGACGTAACAGATAGAAGTAAGATTAGTAGTGATCAACAGAGCTTACTTTTCGCCGTAAGCCTATACCCCCTTTCATTTTTCGCGAACACTCCCTTTAAGGGTACCATTGTTAAATAAAGGGCATTGCCATCTTTGCATGGATGGTCACATTAAATTATGCCTATTACCCCTTTTCAGAGATTAAAAAATTCCAAGAAATTATGACAATTAAAGTCTAGACACCCTGTATTTCAAAGTTCCTTTTGTGGCTAAAGTTTTCTGTTTAAAGAACTTGAAATCTAATTCCTCGGAAAATAAATGGAATGGAAAAGTTTGTAAAAACCTGCCAGGCTGCCACTGTATTACTTTTTGATGTAACAATTAATTAGAAAGTTGGAAAACTTGTAATTTAAACATTTTTAACAATAACAGTTGTTGTCTGGATTTTGTTTTTGCTAAGAAACAGGTTTTTGTAGAAGTGAAAGAGGGGGGGGGGTTACAATAGCCCTCCATTTGCCTTGTCTTTGTGTCTTGTCTGATTCATCAACGGTACCCTTTAGACCTTCGGCTAATCCAGGATGACGGAGCTATACTCATTTTATGAGCAGAAATGTGTGTACGTTGGGGAATTTGAGACGCGGCATTCGTTAAATTCGGAAACTGAAAATTTAACAGTTTTTAAACTTACGGAGTTAACTTTCCGTTTTCCGTTTAAAACTAATATACCAACAAATAGTATAATAGATAAAAGGAAAAATTAATTGCTTAATATAGGTCAAATTGTGATCGAAAATCACATCTTTTTGGGCTAAAAATAGCGATATTATTTTCAAGCGTGGCTTCTCTTGGTCAAATAAAGTAAACTTTAAAGGGGACTATAAAAATAAAACAATATATATATATATATATACATAATCCCTTGAACTAGCGTTTAAGGAGATTATTACATAAATCATGTTTTAAAATGAAAATTCAGATTCTACACTTCAATTTAATGTTTAAAGTTTAAAGTTTCATATTCAACAAAATGTTCCTAGATAATTTGGTCTGATCCCCCCCCCCCCGTACCAGAGTGAGAGGCATTCGGTTTCTTCTATTTAAAATTAATCGCGTTTTGGGCTATAATTCAACAATTTTTGAACTTACGGCATACTTTTCATCAAAACCTTTGTGCCAACAAAAAGTACAAAAAATGGGCTACACATTTATGTTTAACCATGTCAAATTGAGATCGAAAGTCACAGCTAGCTGTCTATAATACTGACAGAACCATTGACAGTCCGCCTATGGTTCCATGTTTTTCCCTTCCTTGATCCTAATCTTGACTGCTTGTTTGTTTGCTACATACGTCAAAACGGCTGAACCGATCCGGAAAACCTTTTTTTGTTGGTTTTACGTGATCCCAAAAAAGGTTATAGAGATGGTCAGAATTAAATAAATTGCCTTACAAAATATTGATTTTCAAAATCCACGAAAAAAGTTTTATTTTTGAAGTTTGAAAATTTAAGAAAAGAAAATGCGTTTGATTGAGCAAGTATTTTAAAGTTAAAATTTAAGATGGGTGCGAAGCGTCCTGGAAACTTATAATGTTTATAATATTATTTCTTTTCTGAAGTTATCATTTTCCCTTTCCCAATTCCTACATTTTCACTACTCTTTGTAAAAAATAAAAAAAAGAATTGAGCTATTGTCACAAGCTCTAATTCTCTAAAATTCCAATATCATAGCAATCAAGGTCCACACCGTCAGGTTGCAGAGATAATGAGATTATGACATTTGATTTTGTGGCGAAGACTCAATTCTGCTAGTAATGACTGAAATCCCATTGTTTCTCAGTTCACCAACCCAACAGGCAAATTATTTAGCTATCTAGGGATGAGGAATCTATGAAACTACATTTTCAGGCCCTTTAATACGAAATTATATATACAGAAACATTACATAGAATTGGAGATTATCAATTCATAATTCAAAAATATTCATCCGATACATTAGCAAAAAGTGGTTTAAATACGTATACATCAGATTCCGAATAAAATGAATTTGAGCCGCGTCTCAAATCCGCCAAAAACCGGTTTCAATTGAGCGCCGGCTTAAATCTAGAAATATTGAATACAATTTTAAATGCAACCAACCATATTTGAGCCTATTCTCAAATCCAAGCCGCTGCTCAAATTCTTTAAATTCGGCCTCAGGATGAGTCATTTAACTTTAACATGAACCAGTGCCGCACTTCACATAAGAGAAATGATTCAACTTAATCTACGTAGTTCAACTAATTGTTGGCCTTCATTAGTTTTGGTCCCGTTAATGAAAGAGGAAAACGTAATATGTTTTCTAAAAAAAGGAAAGTTTTGTATTAATTTTGGAATTATTCTTTACGAAGTTTTTTTTTAAAGTGTATTAAAGCCAACCTTTTCTTAAAGCATGGAAGCAGATTCACAGGGTTGAGATGTTCCAATAGGAACCTTCTGAGCCAGGGTTTCTCCTGAGTATCCGTCCCAGAATCAATATCTATCCTGGAGTCAGGGTTAGTGTCTTCCGTCGTCGCCGGAGCTACTTTTCCGTTCTTCCCCCCACTTGGAGGCATAATCTGGAGTTAACATAAGAAATTAAGAACGCAAATGAAATTTGGAAAAAAAATGAAAAAAGCACTTCCCTACATATTTCGGCTCTTTTCCTTTCTTCCATAGTAAAACAAAATAGTCAAGCATTTACAAGTAGTTTACCAACTTAGCTACCCCTCCCTCTAAACAAAACCTCTTGTTGTGCCTCTGATGCGTTTGCTTCATATCTTTTGGAACAGATATTGAAAACTTTTTGTAATTAACAAGGATTAATTAGCGGTGTTTGGTACTTTCCCAAAGGCATTTTCCCAAGGGCAACTTCCCAAGTGACAATTTCCCAAGTGGCAACTTCCCAAATTTGCAATTTCCCAAGCGGCAACTTCCCAAATTTACATTTTCCTAAATGACAATTTCCCAAGTGGCAACTTCCCCATGAAGGAAAAACGACATTTTCCCCATGAAGGAAGTATTAAATGAACATTTAAGATTAACATTTTTAAAGAATTTCTCAACTTTTTTTTTAAAAATACGCAACTTAAAAAAAATTTATTTAGTTTCTCTTAGTTATATATATATATATATATGTATAATATTTTGGGTTTGACAATGTCGGGATCGAGCGCTGCAGTCTTCTTGTTGCAGGATCCAAACAGGTTCAAGGATTTACCAGTCTAGTATGATCGTATTTAAGACACACAAAGGAATTGAGTCTGTGTCACAAATCCTAATTTTCTAATAATCAATGACGTAGGCCTTAGATATTTCAAACTTTAAATTCTTTTACAGCAAATTATGAAAGTTTGAAATATCATTGGTCTACACTACCAGGTTTTTTAAGTTATTAGAAAATTTGAGTTTGTGGCAAAAACTCAATTCCTTTCGTAGCTATGCTCCAAGGAGAAGTCACTGGACCAATCCTTTGCCTCATCAAAAATATCCCAACTCAGATTTAAAATAAATTTTATTTCGACTTCATGAAGCGAGATATTATGTAAAATTTGATTATTCCCCGGAACTCGTTTCTTACCCAAACCTCCTTCAACAGTAATAAAGGAAAGAAAACCACGGGTTGTTAATTTTCGTGAAATGGCAGTAAAAGATTTATCTTTCTATTTTTACGAATATCTTTATGAATATGTGCAGATAACATGATGTTCTCCTTAAGGAGTACATCCTAAAGTAAGAGAGCCTCAGCTTTCGAACCCATTTCCATCCGTTGAATGAAGAGTTTTTGTATTTGTTGAAATATATATTTTAAATAACAAAGTAAAAAAAGTCTTTAATATTATTTTGGACAGAACAAACAAGACTGAAAATGTGTTTGCAAATATATTTGCAAATGTGTTTGCAAATGTATTTGCAAATGTATTTGCAAATGTGTTTGCAAATGTATTTGCAAATGTATTTGCAAATGTATTTGCAAAAATGTATTTGCAAATGTATTTGCAAATGTATTTGCAAATGTTTTGCAAATGTATTTGCAAATGTATTTGCAAATGTGTTTGCAAATGTATTTGCAAATGTATTTGCAAATGTGTTTGCAAATGTATTTGCAAATGTGTTTGCAAATGTGTTTGAAAATGTGTTTGCAAATGAATTCACAAATGTGTTTTCAAATGTGTTTGCAAATGTGTTTGAAAGTGTGTTTGCAAATGTGTTTGCAAACGTGTCTGCAAATGTGTCGATACAGACTGCAGATGTACTTCGTTGTAGTTAGTTTTACGCTAGCAAGGTTATAATGCAAGGAAAGTTATTTCTGAGGTGTAAGCATCTTTTGTACTGCAGTTTACTGTCTCTGGGAGGTAATGTGAACACAAGACGGATATCATATCCTGACCATGGCCAAAAGTCAAGACCAAATTGGCTGGGAGAACCCTGGGGTAAAATAGGCTAAAATTCGGAGTCAAACCTTATAGAAATTCAACGTATAGACACCGCTACGTATAGCAACAAGGTGTATTTTCCGGTAACACATTTTTTATATTTTTGAGAAATTAAATAATCAGTGTAAAGTAGATATAATTTTCATAAAATAAATTTATTTAAATGGTAAAACGGAATTTTATGAAATCATACTAGCATTACTGGAGAACTTTTTTTATACTTTTAAGAAAATTTTTTCTCTAAAAATACAAACTGTAGATAGCACTTTTATAAACTATTTTTTTTAATAGTAACACGCAATTTTATGGATAACCATATAATCATTAATTTATGTTGTCAGTACATAATAAAATCTGTGGGACCTTAAACACAATAGAGACCACTACAAATGTACATATTAAACTATTTTTCTCTCTCAATGTCTAGGGTATGTTAAAAAATAGAAATTATGATAACGATAGTGATAAGCTACAATGTTTTACAAAAACGTTTAATTTCTCGAAAATATAAAAAATGTTCTCCCGGAAAATACGCCTTGTTGCTATACGTAGCTGTTTCTATACGTTGGATTTCTAGAAGGTTTTACTCCTAAAATTCAAACTTTAATTTTTAAAATTTGAAATTATTTTTCTTCAAATTCTAAAAGTTTTTAAATTTCCACGGGCAACGCAGGGTACTTCAACTAATATGGTATAAAATACATAATAAAAAAAAGGAACTACAGAGAGTATTAACTGTATTTAACTGTATTGAACAAAGTATGTAAGAGTACTAAACTAAATGGTTTTGTTTCATGTAGATCTTTGACACAAGTATCGATCATTTGTCTCATGTAGAAAACCTTGTTATATGTCCACTCCCTTTCCATAGATACTTAAAGAACAATAAATCACTTTTAAACTATTCAAAATGAAGACGATTGGGTGAAACAATATGAGTAAACATGATTGGTTTATCCAATTGGAATCAAGATAATTTGATAAACAAATCAGAATGAATATAATTTGATAAACCAATCAGAACTCAAACGATTGGATGAACCAAACAGAGTAAAGATGATTGGATGATCCAATTAAAGTAAAGATGATTGGCTGAAACCTATAGAGAAAAGACGATTGGCTGAAACCTATAGAGAAAAGACGATTGGCTCAACCAATCAGAATTAAGACGATTGGATGAACCAATTAGATTTAGGACGATTGGATGAACTAATTAAAGTAAAAACAAAACGATTGGAGGAACCAAACAGAGTAAAGAGAATTGGATGAACCAATTAGAGTAAAGACGATTGGATAAACCAATTAAAGAATAGATTATTATCTGAATCACTCAAAATCAATAATAATTAAGTGAATCAATCAGAATTAATTATAATTTGCTCAATCAATCAGAATCAATATCGCATAAACCAATAAGAATCAATTCTGTTTATTAAGATTGAAATATGAAAATGAAAAAGAAATTTTCATATTAAAGGAATTAAGTCTTTGCTACAAGCTCTGATTTTCTCATCCCTATCTCTTTGCAACCCAAAAAGTCGTAATCCCAAGTAACTCTTCTTGTATAGATTGGCATGCTTCCTTCAAAACGGTAACCTTAAATTTTCTTCAGATCTAGATTAAATCAGATAATTGTAGTTTCTCTTCAAGCTCATTTCTTCTGCAGATACAATCGGAGGAAATTTGCAGATCCCATTTAAAGCCAGAAAATCGGGGTTCAATGTGTTTCATTATATGAATCTTTAATTGGGGGGGCCACAGGAAATTACAAATACAGTTTCTTTAAGGATTTCGGATTTTAGACATATTTAGAATTTGATAACTGAAATCAAGTTCAGTGGCCGAATCCTGGACCTTGCCAGTAATCTGATTCAAAAATTCCTAGCTCAGGTTTTATGAAGTTGTAAAGTAAGAAGACGACATTATTAATGATAAAATATAATATTTCCTTAATCAGAAAAGTTTTGAAAGTTTGGAGAAAGTTTTGACATTTTTCAACAAAATTCTTGTTTTGATAAATTATTGATAGCAGCGAAGAAGAGAACGCATTTGCTGGAAGAATATAGAATAGAAGATTATAAAATAGAAGATTAAAGAATATAAGAATATAAAATAGAAGAATATGTGAATAGAAGAATATAGAATAGAAGAGTATAGAATATAAAATTATAGAATAGAAGAATATAGAATTGAAGAATAAAGAATAGAAGAATACAGAATACAAATTGGTGATTATATTAACAGTACAAGTATAAAGCAATTAGGTGGAAAATAGCTTTTGGCTGTTTTGATTATTTTTTCCACCTAATTTTAATAATGATAATTAAATAGATTTAAGGAGAACTATTAGAGATCAGGGTGCGATTTTATCTTCTGCAAAATAAATTATAGAAGAATATAGAATAAAAGAATAAGAATAGAAGAACATAGACTAGAAGATAATAGAATAGAAGAATGTAGAATAGAAGGATAAAGAATAGAAATATATAGAATAGTGGGATAAAGAACAGAAGAATATAGAAAAGAAAAATAAAGAAAAGAAGAATATAGAATAGAAGAATATAGAATAGAAGAATATAGAAAAGAGAAATATAGAATAGAAGAATATAGAATTGAAGAATGTAGGATAGAAGAATATAGAATAGAAGAATATAGAAAAGAAAAATATAGAATAGAAGAATATAGAATTGAAGAATGTAGGATAGAAGAATATAGAATAGAAGAATATAGAAAAAGAAGAATATAGAATAGAAGAATATAGGATAGAAGAATATAGAATAGAAGAATGTAGAAAAGAAGAATAACGAATAGAAGAATATAGAATAGAAGAATATAGAATAGAAGAATATAGAATAGAAGAATATAGAATAGAAGAATATAGAAAAGAAGAATATAGAATAGAAGAATATGTGTAATAAATACCGTAGCAAACCCCATATTTATAAACCTGACACCCCTAGATATATTACGTTGAACATTCTCTGTAAACCTAACTGCGCTTGTAAATAACAACGTAAAACTTGTATTATGATTAATCTAACTATGATAGTAAATAACTACGTAAAACTTATATTATGATTAATCTAACTACGCTTGTAAATAACAACGTAAAACTTGTATTATGTTTAATCTAACTACGCTTGTAAGTAAAACTTGTATTATGATTAATCTAACTATGATAGTAAATAACTACGTAAAACTTATATTATGATTAATCTAACTACGCTTGTAAATAACAACGTAAAACTTGTATTATGTTTAATCTAACTACGCTTGTAAATAACT